TCCAATCGGTGTAAAAAATGCCATTTTTTTAAATTCCAAAAAAATGGCACATTGCTCTTTGAGAATGCCAACATTTTCATTCTGCCAACTTGAATCCTTTTGACTTATGCCAAAAATATGGCATTCATAATGAATTTGTCATTTTTCCCCCCGGTAACAGGAGGTGGTGGTATTGCCTCCCTGCACCACCACCTCCTACCGTTAAAAAATGTCATATTTACTAAAAACTACCATTTGTTTTCGAAAATGCCAAAAAAATGGCATATTTATCTTTGAGAATGCCAACATTTTTAATCTCAACTTGAATCATTCTGACCTCTGCAAAAAATATGGCATTCGTAATCAATTTGGAATTTTTCCCCTAGCTGACTGAAGGCGGTGGTGCTAGGGCGGCAGAGGCGGCAATGTTATTTTTTTTGCATTTTTTATTTTTTTAATTTATTATTATTTAAAATATTTATTAATTTAATTGGTATTATTTACATTTTTTATTTTTAAATTTTTTGGTATTTTTTACAAATTTTTATTTTATTATTTTAGTATTTTATTATGAATTAAAACAATGCAATAGCTATAAGGGTATATTTATCCAAGACACACATAATTAGTCCTATGGAAATATAGTTAATTTTTTTTGTATTATTTGTGCAAAGTGACTGACTTTTAGTCATATTTTGATAACTAACCCTATTATAATATTAAGGAAATAAATTTGATGAGGGGCAAATTTTCTTGTAGAGTACACTGTTGTGACACGATTTGACACTGTTTCGCATTGCTTGGCACTGTTTTGTTGTTAATTTGTTTGTCAAATCAAGGCCGTCTTTGAGGGTTTTGGTGCCCTAGACGAAGAATAAATCAAATATTCTCTCTAGCCAATGATGCTAAATTTTGTTATACAATATATTGATATACAAAAGTATTTCTAATATACAATAGTACTATTTCTAATTTACAAACAATTTTGATATGGAATGTTCTGTTTAAAAATTATCATCAGATTATAAAATTTACAAGTTTCACAAAAATTATATTGTTAAAACTATTGACCAAAGGTCAACATTATGACCTGGAAAAATCAAACATGATTAATTAAGATGGATTAAGGTAGTAGTACCTTAATTAATCAAGAATGAAAAAGAATAAATTTCAAAATAAAATTGATAAATAATAACTCCGAGATCAGACATATAATACGATTTTATAATTAGAATACACATAAATAAATTGAAATTTGATCTAAAAATAAACACAGTACAACACAACTAGTCTACTACTAGCTATTTGTGATATATATCGACATGATGGATATGATTAGAAAATAAATATAATAAAATCAAAGTTCATTAATTAGAAGTGAATACGAAATTAAATATAAGTTCATTAATTTGAAAACACAACTAGTCTACAACTATTTGTGCCCGGATTTCATTATAATAGTGATGTGATTTCATTTTAAAACGCAAGTTAGCAAAAAAAGAGTGAATACGCAGATCTTAATTAGAACACACATGGGTATTTGTATTTGGAGTTATTAAATAAGGAAGTGTAAACTTGGTTGGGACATCCTGTTAGAAATTTGTGTTAAAAAATTGCATTAAATGGTAATTTTGGGGCAATATTTTGAGTGGGGTCCACTTCTGATTTGGGTCGGGTCAAAGTGATTTCGATATGTGGTACACTCAAAATGGATAATGGGTGAATGAGTTTTCTCAAAGTTCACTCGTTGAAATGGAAAAACTGGGAAAAAGATGACTTTCTAGTGTGTTATTTCTCACACCGGAAAACCCAATGGCTTTTGAACCCCTTATAAAGGGGAGCCTATTTTAAGGAGTTAAGATTCTTAGGTGGAAAGGTTCTCTTTGCGCGCAGGGGTGCAAATCAAATCCCGAATGTCATCCCATGTCCACCTCTAGCATTCTGTAAACTTCCTCTGTGTTTTTGCTTTGTTCCAGTTCGCCGAAACAATTCGTGTGAGTGCTCAAACAATCAGTGACGTATCCAGAAAATTCGACCAGTGGGGGCGAATATACACTTACGCTATCACACATTTTTAGGAAATAAATATTATGGAGTAATTAAAAAATTGAAAATTTATTAAAAGATAAAATATTTTTTTATAAGAAACATATGAAATATGTAATTATAAGTTTATAACTAATTTAAGTTACGAATAAGATGTGATTGAAATTACATACTCCCTTTGTCCCGCTAATTAAGATTGTCTCATTTTACCTTTTCGGAAAATGCCACTAAGTTTGTCTCATTTTAAATTTGGTAAAAGTTTGTGTAGCTCTAAATCATTTTTATTTTATTCTTATTTATCAATTCAATATTAACAACATAAATACACTTCTTAATAAGTGTGTCACGTCATCTTTTTCCAATGTTAGTGGAAGGAGGGTAGTATCATTTATTAGTTACATTAAAATAAATTATTTAAAGTTAACTTGGATCTTATGTTTAGATACATCCTATAGTTTATTAAATACAAAATAAAAGATACATAAGAAATGGATGAATTTTATAATTATAAGTGATTTAAGTTACAAACAAACAAGTTTTAATATCAAGTGTGAAAAGATGTCACTTATTAGCTACATTAAAAAAATTAATTTGAATGTTAAATTTTGACAAATAATATACAGTTTCAAAAGAAAAAAAAAGCTAAACTAAAGATCTCACAAGGATTCGAACTAGGACAACCCGCAGGAAAGCTCAATGCTCCAACCACTAGGCTACTGAACTCAATGCAGTTTGGAGCCTAAACGTAACTACATGCATATGACAATGACATATACACTCAAATAGAATGTGCCGGTGACACACAATCTGAAAACGGAGTTCCGGTGAACAATAGTTCGCAACACGGAATATCTGTTTTGGTCAATCAAAAGGCAATCCCAATGGTGACCGTACTGAGCAACTCGGTGGAGAAACTTGAAAAATTTAATGGGTTAAACTTCAAGAGGTGGCAGCAAAAGATGCTCTTCTATCTCACTACTCTCGATCTTGCACGATTCTTGACCGAGGATGCTCTGGTTCTAACGGGGGGTGAGGTGGATGCGCAATCTTTCAACGCGATTGAAGCATGGAAGCAATCTGACTTTCTTTGCCGAAACTACGTGTTGAACGGGGTGCATGATGCTTTGTAGACTTAAAGCTAAGTAGACATAAAATAGACCAGACCAAACTAGACCAGACTTGCACAGACTAGACCAGAATTCTATAGTTATGAGATATATAGAGACAAGACATTTATCAGACCAGACCAAACCAGACTTGAACAAATCAGACTAGTAAATTTCAGTCCAGATAAAAACATCCTAAATTTTAAAAACTTATATTTGTATATTTCATTGTTAAATTTTATAAAGTTTCTTGTTTTAGGGGGGTTTGAATTCGTCTTTTGGAACTGGGACCCTCCAAATACGTAGTACGTAGTAATAGGTAATGATAAGATACAATAAAATATACGTACACACTACTAACAACGTAGTACGGAAGTGAGCGGAAGGATCTAGACTTGGTTCTCTAGTTCTACGATCTTGATAGGCAGCGAGGTTCTACATCCACGGGTAACATTTTTCAAGCAGCATAGGTCCAACTGTCCAAGTATGGTAACACAACGGTTGACAAGGTTGTGTTTCATTGCTAAGGCAGTTGGTTTTCGAGGCTAGGCTTGGAGCAGATCGTAAGGACCTTTGGTGGCCCTCAAGGCAACGGTGGTCCGCTAGGCTTGCTATTCGTTCAATGTTTCGCATAGGAGGCTTCGGGGCTTTCGTAGGGTCGGCAAGGTAGTCAGGTCGGGGCGATAATGAAAATTTGTGGAGGCATAACAGAGAACAAGGTGAACAAGCTAAGGAGAGGTGCGAGTTGGTTGATTTGAACACGCTTACGATCATCTTATCTGGGAAGAAGTTGATGATGAAGTGTTGGTGATCGGTTCCTCTCCTAAACTGCCACTATGGAGTGAAAAAGTGACTAGGATTTGGAAGATGATGTTTCACGTTTGGATTTGGCCGCTGCAATTATTTGTTTTATGCTTATTCCAAGTGTTATTTGTATTTCCTTAGACTGTTTACACTTTATTTGGTTTGTTTGTGTTCAGGGTAGTCTTGAAATGTTTAGTTTAACTTTGGAGCTCTGATATGCCTCTCCTGAGATTATTGCCGTTGTCGCTCGTTGGACCTAGTTAGGTGACGTCGTTGTCATCCAATCCTCGCCACGATGGATGACAGCACTAAAGTCGTATGTGCCTCAAAATAAATTCAATACTCAACACTTATACGTAATATAGTGTAGTAGAGTTTGTATCCACAGGGAAAGGGATAATTTTCTTTCAATGAGCTAGTAATAAAAAGGGGGGTTTTGGGATTGTTTGATTTTAATTAATTAAACACTAAGTTGAACGACCTATATGTGTTTTAATTCAAAGATAAAAAGAACTTGGCTTAGCTACTTTCCACTCGTTGAGATGTTAGTCAATCCCGGTTATATCTTTAACTTATCCCCTCTCGAATACTCAATCAAGGAGTATTTCCAATTCATTGATGTTAGTTGTTAATAATGACCGTTCATTAACAACTCTTATTATTAGCCAAATATTGAACAACGTCGTATACCGACTTAATAGTGGCATTTAATCTTTTGAACTCCTTGATGAAATCAATTGTAATTGATAATCTCAACACAACGGTTTCGGTTTAACCAACAACCATTAACCATCGGTTCATTGATCATTCCTAGTAATAATTAATGTTGAAGCGTTAACTAATCGTACTTAGTGACACCCCAACATTATTATAGACATAAGATAAGCGAAGAATTAACATTCAAGAGAAGAAATTAAGAAAATAACTCACAACTTTAACATTCAACAAGCTTCAAGAGCAAAACAAGGAAATGAAAGTTTAACTCCTCAGTTGGAGACTAAACATGCTAGAAAATATAAGGAAATAGCTATTCTAAACTAAACTTAAGAGTATATGTGAATTGGGGTGAATTAAATGTGAAGGAAAAGGTTTAAAACGCAGTTATCTTGTAAGATTAAAAACGCACACATACCCGACCGGGTATGTCAGTCTACCTGATCGAGTATGAGACCAAATCTTCAAATATTTTGCAGCCACTGCACGATCCTTTGTTCTCTGGATTTTATTTTGACATGTACATGCAGTCAATACCAAATCCTTTGTTTGATCTTGTTCCTTTGCACATCCTTTGGTCTTTGAGATCCATTCTTTGATCCTTTGACTGATTTTGAAGTATCCTAAGCTCAGGACAATCCTAATCTAAGCAAATTACAAATATTTAAATAAGTTCAAGCATTACATCAAAAGTGTGTAATTTCCAAACTAATGAATAACAAAACTAATTAAAATTGTAAACATGCAATAAGAGATTACACGAATATGAATGGTCATTGTTGAAGAGCTAGATAATTTCGTTGCAATGGTGGACGCTGTCGTTGTAGGTGGTGGGTGTCGTACGAAGACTCTGCTAATGCCACCTTCAAGCAGAGCTGGGTTAAGATTAATTATAAGAGGCGACACAAAAATGAGAAGTAGAGAAGCACTGATAGTAGGCGCATGGTGTAACAATCCATATGATTTGTTAAGACCTCAAATGGATTTAGGGTTAAGGGCACTTTTGACAATTCACATAATTTGTAGTCGCTTTTCTGTCCAAATGAAACTCGGTTCGATTTTTAACTATTAAAAATGTGTATTTAATATTTAAGTCATTATTTCTTAGTCTAAGGATAAACGAAGTACATAATCCATCTCTTTTTCCAAAAGCCTTGCATAACTAACTTTTTCATACATATAATTACAAACTACCTACAGGACAAACTTAAGTTAGATGAACGAGATGTCTAGATGCGTACATAGTGTTACCATGGGATCATTCGTTACATACATATAACTACATATTACTAATACATATTCGCAAGCCCGTCAAATTACACCGTGGGATTATTCGTTACAACGTGCGAACGGTGTACAAACCCCACTAATACGTATTTCACTCTTTCTTTCTTTTTTCTCTCGAGTAGTTGAGTGGATCATTTTTTGTTTTCTTTGACTTATTTTTTCTTCTATGTCTCTATCAAAGACCTAAAAATATAATTTCAATTATACTTTATATATATATCTTCAACTTAAATTACAACTAAATCTATTTTTTTATATTCTTTATCAATTCTCAAGAAAATTATTAACCTAATTGATATAAGTATATTACATTTCATATTCATACATTATTTCAATTTCTGTAATATGTTTTTATATCTATACACGTTCTTGTAATACTAGTATATACGAAGTATTTTTTATATTCATACACTTTTTTGTACAGTATTTTAATTTATCTATTTTATATTTTCTTAAGAGTTTTTTGAGAATTGAGTTTGTTTATTTTGATTCCTGAAGTTACATTTGATAGTATATGACATTATATCTATTTATGTGCAATTTATATCTTCATTTGCGCGAGTTACATTTTCTTATGCGGGAGTTACGTCTTTTTATAATGTGCAAGTTACATACTTTGATGAGCAAGTTACATGTGGACTTGCATTATTAACAAGTTACATTTTGCATGGACATAAGTCACATTGTTCATTATCGCGAGTTACATTTTCCGTAATCCGAGTTACATAACAAAATAAACCTCTATAAATCTCTATCATTTTTTAATTATGATTTTTTAATGCACCACCAAGCCAGAATTTTCCAATAAGAAAACAATACGTTGTTATGTATGATGAAAGCAACAATTAAGATACCAAAACCAAGAAATTGAACTTTTTTTAAGAATTTGTGCTCTTTGAATAGTAGACAAATTGTACTTGGGGAGATGCACGAGGAAAGTTCAAGAGCTTCTCTCTGACCTCGATATGCAAAGAGTCATTGATATGTTGAGCTGCACGAATAACAACGTGGTGGAGCGCGGGCGAGTTTAAGAGTAGTAATTTCACCAGGTACAGTTCCATTTTGGATCCTTTGAACCTGTTGAGCTTCAACTCTCAAGAATCTTGAAAGCAGCATCAATGAGGCCCTCCAAAAGTGTTGGATTAGTTACTTCAGAACCTTCCAGAATATCAATCTCCAGCACGCATAGCTCGGGGGATTTTTTAAGCAATTGGGCAGCAAACGAAAGATGGTAGTCACAATCAAACATGAAGCCATCAAGTTTGATTTCTTGCAAATTTCTCGCAATTGGGAGGGCTGCTGAGGCCACCAGATCAGTCATACACGGAAGCAATTTGAGAGAAAGGCTGTGATATTAAAAAACAAAACATATCCATTATTTATGTAAAGCAGCTGAACAATTACACTCCTTTTTTCATTATTTATATTGAAATCAATGTTTTAGTTCTTATACTTCGTATTAGACATGTCACGCCTTGGACATACCCGGACACGTCAACAGCCCGCCGTACAGTACGAATATTCAACCGCAGTCCAACACATCCACACTATACTAGGCGTCTTGAATATCATTCACACATAGTACATCCATAAAGCAGCGGAAACAGTAGTACAAGTGTTCAAGCCCACACTTGACAAACTTAGGCACACAAGTCCCATTAATTAGTCAGAAAATAATATCCATGAGCATTACTATCAATGTTTGGAAACATAAACGAAAGAAGCACGAACCACGTCTTCTCCCCTAGATTTTCTCGAAGCAACGGGCGATGGTAGCATTATTATCAGTACTTTAAAGCATTTGAAAAGTACAATGACAACTACACTGTATATAATCAATGTTTCAACTTCTAAGACCCTCAACTAGGGTTATATTATAATATACGCCGTAACCGTAGGTTACTCTGTTTAAAAATGTACTGTTAGAGTCCCACACTGGAAATGTTTGAATCAACGAAGTGCTATATTAAGACATGGGCTCCTCCTCTTATCAGGGTTGACCTTTTAGGATGGAACCCCGGGTCTTAACATGGTATCAGAGCCAAATCGATCCATGGTGTGGGACCCCTTATGAAAAATGATGACACGATTAAATAATATGACAATGATCAACCGACGGGAAAAAATGAATGACGGCACGATCCAGATGTAGTGTCTGGTCATGAGTTACGTCACTCTCCTACTGAAAACTATTCGTGCGTTCTATTGTTTATGCGTTTTATGGGTTGCTCCCACGATACAACACGGTGTAGAAATAATCTAAAAACATTTCTGCTTATCTAAGTCAAACCGTTTATTTAATTTACAAAATTTCGAGTTATTTGCACATATAAAAACGATAACGATAATGCTAATCATGGAAAGCTACTTAGTTATATACAAATAATTGTAAAATGGGATATCAAGAGAAAATCACATTTTTGGTCCCTGAAATAGTCACGAAAATGAAATGTCGGACCTGTATTTCCAAGTTTGTAAATGTCATTCCTCAATTGTCTTAAATGTTGTAAATGTTGTCCTTTGAGGGGTGAAATATACAATGTGAGCGAGAGTACATTTCACCCCTTAAAGGACCACATTTACAACAACTTGGATAATTGAGGGGTGAGAGTTACAATATTAGAACTACGGGTCCGACATTTCATTTTCGTGACTATTTCAGGGACTAAAAGTGCGATTTTTTCGAGTATTAATTAAGGGAAGCTATGGAATAATGGTGATGCAATAAGGGAAATGGTATAAGAAATTATATAACTATTAAATTTATCCATGCATTTTACCCAAGATTTAAAAGTAATTTACGCTTATTTATTCACCAATTTTATGAAAAATCAAAACTAAATTGTCTAACCCTGCCTATATTTATTATAAGGATGTTCATTGGTTCTGTTTATATTAGATTGGGCTGTACATATTTATTTTGGGCCGAAGGGCTCTGTTTCTTTGTATTCTTTATACACAAACTTGTATAAATACTCAGTATTATGTTAATAGACACAAGGGAAATATTTTTACCCAAAAATTGAGTTTATTCTTTCCCAATATGGTATCAGAGCCGTGAGGGTCTTCTGCGCACCATCATCGTCGTCTTCTCGTGCGTAGGTCTGCACCAGTGTGTATCGGCCTAGCGACATGGGAGACATAACATCGCCATACTATTTGGGCTCTGGAGATCAACCCGGAAACCTTATTACTCATGTCATATTCAAAGGCGACAACTACGTCGCTTGGTCACGAGCTTTTGCTCTATCTTTGAAGGCACGTCGGAAAAATGTTTTCATCGACGGCACACTGACGGAACCTACTGAAGCTGCGAAGAAACTTGATTTTGAGACGGTGAATTCCATGATAGTTTCTTGGATACTCAGGAGTATGGAGCCGCATGTTGTAGCGACCATACCATTCCATGAAGATGCCCGGAAATTATGGTTGTACTTGGAGAAGCGCTACATCGTTGCCAAAAGGACCCCGACTACAACAGCTGCGTGCCTCAATTACGGAGTGTCGGCAGAGCAAGAGCATGACAGTAGACATGTATTATACCGCACTCATGGGGCTGTTCGACGAGTTACACAGGCTGAAGCCTTTACATGTGTGCTCGTGTGGACGGTGTACATGCGGTGTTGTGGAGAAGTTTGCAGCTGATCGCGAGGAAGAGAAATTACATCAATTTCTTGTGGGAATTGATGACGAAATTTACGGGACTGTCCGTTCCAATCTTTTATCTCACACCCCTTTACCCGATCTCAACCGGGCTCATCAAGCCTTCTTGCAAGAAGAAAACTCCAGGTCTGTGATTCGTGGGAAGAACGCAGCCCCAACTGAAGTGCAGGCTTTCGCTCTCAAGACAGAGCGGCCTGTCAAAGGTCGTGAAGAAAAGGCAGACCGTGCACGACCAATGTGTACACACTGCAAGCAAAAGGGACATGAGGTGACTATGTGTTTTAAGCTCCATGGATACCCGGATTGGTGGGAAGAGCGACCCCGGGCCAAGAGGCAAACTGCAGCAAGCCGTGAAGAAGGTTATGGTCGAGGGACGGCAGGACCTGTTCGTACTCATGCACTGGCAGCAACCTTGCCTGCTCCTGAGGCCGGAGGTTCCTCTTCTGGTAGTGATCCCAATGGGTTGGCTGCCTTGAGTAAGGAACAAATTCAGGCCCTTCTGAATTTAATTAATAATGATTCCCATTCTTGTGACCGTATGTCGGGTAAGAATTCAATTCATCTTGCTTGGATCATTGATACAGGTGCATCACATCACGTCACGGGCAACCTCAATTGCCTTGAAAACCCCGTGCGCATTAATGCTCTTCCGGTTAATTTATCGGATGGTAGACAGGTTGATGCCATTCTCGAGGGACATGTGATACTCTCGGATTATCTTACTCTTCGAAATGTTCTATTTGTGCCTGGACTACAGTGTCATCTTATTTCAGTTTCACAATTGACAGATCAGTCTGAATGCCTAGTCACATTTACTAATAATCTTTGTGCTATACAGGACCTTCTCTCGAGGAGCCTGATTGGAGCCGGTGAGAGGCGAGATGGGCTGTTCTATTTCAGAAGACTACCT